TCCTTGATGTACCCACAGTACATTGCCAGATTACTCTCTAAAGATGTAGCTCTTACACCTAAGGAGATCCGTGAGGCCGCCTAAAATCGAGCCATTTGGAAAAACATTGCGACCGGCTGCTGTGCAGCCGACTAGTAGTAGGAGTAGTAGTAATATTTAATAATGTTGAAATATTTATTTATAGGGGGGGGCGACAGCCCCCCCCCCCCCAGTCGCCCCCCACTGAGTTTTTTAGTTTCTAAAAAAAATTATCATTGATCTACATGACGCCCCCCAATGAAATGTTCCAGCCCCCCCAGCGCCCCCCCACTGAAAAATTCCTAGCTACGCCACTGTGCGTAGCGCCCTCTGAAGTCAAAAAGTGTGGGCTGCACCATGTTGGAATTGTACGAATAAAGTTACGAATAAATGCAAACAAAATGCAGACGAAAATACATGGTTCTCAATTAAGAAGAAACGTACTGTATTTTAAACCAATCAAAAATTTTTTATAATCTTAAGCAATTTGCTCTAATAAATCAGCTGGAAAGGGGCCAGGAATCACCTTAGATTGAGCATTGAGCATCTAGAAATACCCAATTTTCCCGGGGCCCTTAACTTAAACGGGCCCCGGACCCCGAGCCGTATTCGCGTTCCGCGCTTGCAATAGTCGTCTGGGCAGATGCCCCAACGCATCTTTGCAATAGTTCACAAACTAAGTCAATACCATTCCTTTTCAAAAATAAAATGCAAGAAAATATGCAGACGAAAATACATGGTTATCAACTGAAGTACAGAAGAAACTTAACATTAGTTAAAGCAAGAGTATATTTTAAACCAGTGAAAAAAATCCTCATAATTTTGAAACATTTTGCTCAAAATAACGCAGAACTAGGGGAAAGGGGCCACGAATCCCCTCTAGAATCCAACATTTCCCGAGGCCCTTAAGCGGGCCCCGGATCCCACACCGTAAGACATTCGCACTCCGCACTCACATTAGTCCTCGGAGCAAAATTGCCCCAACACATCATTGGAACAGTTTACAAACTAAGTCAATATAATCCTTTTCAAAAACAAAATTCAAGAAAAAATGCAGACGCAAATACATGGTTTTCAACTTTGAAGTAGCGCAGTAACTTAAAATTTGCAAAAGCAAGAGTATAATTTTCACAAAATCCTTATAATCTTAAACATACTCATACAGTTTCCGTATTTTTTTGAGAGGGGAGAATGTTGCATTCACAGTCTATTTGCACAGTACCCTGTGCAGTCGAAAAGTGTGGGCTGTGCCATGTTGGAATTGTACAAATAAAGTGTTACCTCGAATCTGAATTGCTCTCTCTCAGTACTGGATTTATAACCCATTTATACACCTTAAACATAACATGACCAAAGTATAGCCATGGCTGAAAGCGATCCCAGTTGCTGCCAGTTGTCAACTGTTGAACTGAAACAGAAATTAGAGGAAGAATACTTGAGACTTGAGAGCAGGGAAATTGAAGGTCTGTCAAGAAATCTCAGCAGCTACTTTGTCCGAAGCTGCTTAGTGAGTGCAAGGCATGGAGGAATTGCTTCTGTGGCCAGGGGAGCCCAACAACCTTTTTCTCCGAGAGAAACAGCAGCGAAAGTCCGGACCAAGCCGGCAACCAGAGAAAGTCCGGACCAAGCCGGCAACCAGAGAAAACAGCCATTCGGACGTGAAATAACACCGGCATTTATTAAACATCCTACTGCAACCGGAAAGGCAGTGCCACTTGGAGACCAACCGGCCGCTCCAATGGGTGCAGTACCGAGTGGATAAAACCAGCTGCTCCGGTGGTTGCGGTACCGGTGAGAGAACAACCGGGCGCACCGGTGGTTGCAGTACCGGTTGGAGAACAACCGGCCACACTGTTGGTTGCAGTACTGGTTAGAGCACAACGGGCCACTCCAGCAGTTGCAGTACCGGTTGGAGAACAACTGGCCATCCCAGTGATTGTACCGCAAATGGGAAATGAACCAGCCTCGCCAAGAATTACATTACCGCCTGGAGATTCTAATGATGTGTCAAGCAGGCATGTTGTTGCTACGGCTGTACATGCTCCTAGACAGGCTGTTGTCGGCACCCCAGTTCAACCACCAGAAACTACCGGAAATTAAATGGCTCATATGAGTTAGGGGAAACATTCACCTTATCCCCTGTTGCACCAAGGTTGGCGCACAGCATTCAACACCAGAATATATCTACAACCGTAGCGTGCGAGCCAGAAACGGCACTGACAGCAGAAAACTCAAAGGAGTCCACGGGTGCTGATGGTCACCAAACTGACCAACTGAGGACACGAAGGAGAGACCTGTGATTAAACCGGACAGATATGATGGAATAAACCAGTAGACTTCGTACATCATGCACTTTTAGATGTGTGCCAGAATTAATGGCTGGGACAACAGCGGGAAATTGCAGTGCCTAGCAGTTCTGCTGACGGACACAGCACAACAAGTTCTGGGAAGCCTGCCAAAAGAAGCATCTACAGAGAAGAAGAAGAACTACAATAAATTAGTCCAGGCGTTGGAGGTACGGTTTGATCCAGTCAGTAGCAGTGTCACACACACAGCCCTGTTTGACCTCAGTTTCTCGTCCTGAGGTCAAGCATGCATGGCCCAAAAGCGTACGTGAGATTTTACGAGATTTATTCGAGACTACAGAAAAACACAAAAAAGTGCTTAGATACATGCACTGTTTGGCCAAGATGGCTATAAAATAAGTGAATAGTTGAAATCGTGTGCTTTATTTTGATAACAAAAATAACTGCTTTTGACAAATATAAAGTGTTGTTATGGCCTGTCAAACAAAATCATATTTTTTATCAACAAAATCAAGGGCCTATAGTTTTTAGGTGTACATTCGATTCTTAAAAAAGGCCGAAACAAATGGCAAGGCTTAGTAGATAGAGGAAAGTATACACTTCATTTTCATGTAAAAAACGTGTAGGAGACTTCTAATGTTTGGTCCAAATCGCCGGTTGAAAAATGAAGACATTTGCAAGATTTCATGATTTGCAATCACATGTATGCGTGTAAACGAATGTCAGTACGCCAACTAACAAAATGTATGTTGGCCTGAAAACATTGTGAATAGCACGTGCGACGCGCAATGAATGACTTATGAGTATTAAGCATGCCCATACTCGAGCTCGACCAATCAGTAGGCTTATGGGTCACAAGGTCACACCATGTTTGGGTTCCTCGCTCTATGCTTTACAATAGCGACAATCTTTTCACGTTGTGAAAAATGGAAGTTGTTGGGAACATTAGGTGTACATCGAATTCTTAAAATATTAACGAGATCACGTTCACAAGATTTTTTGTAGATGAAGGTTCACTCTTTCATTTGATTACCTGAACATTTGGGAGACTTTTGTAATCCTCGAAAAAACCCGGAAATTTCATGACCGAATTTTTAGTCGATTTGTCCGTGAAATAATATCGTCAAAATGCATTGAAATTCTTTCTTTCTTTTTTTGAGAAAAAAACCTTGATAGATTGAAGTAGGTCTTTAACTACCGTACCTAAAACAACTTTGTTTGTTTGGATCGGTTACGGTTTGCCATGAAAATTGCGAATTTTCTGAAGCCCTTTTTACGGCCATCGTTCGCTGGCCTCGCGTTGCTATCAGTTGTGTGGATGAGAAAATAGAGGAGCTACGCGTGACACGGCAACTGACTGATCCAACCGGAAGGAAGGAGCTGCATAGAGTGCAGTTAAGAAACCAGCACAAAAGTCATTGGAAAGCCTGGTGGAAATGGCCGAAGATATAAGGAGGCTAGTTGACAAGGTGTACGTTGATCTACCAACCGATAGCCGGGATCGCTTGGGAAAAGACCATTTCATAGAAATGACAGTGAATTAAGAACAAGGGTTATTCAAATGCAAACATCAACATTGGACGAAGCCGTGGCCGCTTCAGTTGAACTAGAGGCATTGCTAGGGGTGGAAAAGGAAAGCAGGCTGGCTAATCTGAAACAGGTACGCAACGTTCAAGTCACGCATACAATTGAGGACTTGGCAACAGAGACAAAACAAGGAAGACCCGAAATACAAAATCGGCTTAAGAAAATAGCTGAACAGTTGGAGGTAATGAAGAAACAGATCCAGACATGTGGGACTGGCTCAATGGGTTCCAATCAGAAAAATACATACGGACCCAAGTGTTATGAATGTCAGAAGTATGGCCACATAAAACGACAGTGCCCAAAACTAAAGAACACCGATGCGTCACGGACTGGAGAGATCACATTTGAAACTTTTTATAACTGTTGTTTTGTTATGAGAAAAGTTATCATGTTCATATAAATGTTCAGAAGTTTTGCTTAAGATTTTTGTAACCGTTTGAATTTCTGGTTAAGAAAAGAAACTTGTTAAGTTCAAAATTTTGAAAAGAAAAGCAGATGCGAGGACACATCCCTGTTAAAGCAGGGATAATGTAATGGAATTGAGCGTCGCACTGGAGCTAGCGCAGCGCCCGCAATGTTTGTGGTTATGTTACATTTTGGCGGGAAGCCGAGGAATGCTTTTGGGGCAGACACGTTTTGTGGGAAAGCTGTGAAAACTGCGTTGGTACTGCAAATAACAGGGTGTAACCGGGATCTAGTTCATAATCCTTAAAGAACCCAACTATCTTGTTGACCCCAGACCGCTCGGTGAACATTACAATACTGTAGATTAGGCCCACATCTTTTCCACATGCTAGTGTAAGGTGAGGCTGGTTAAGCATTGCAGTAAGGTAACTTTGTTCAGGGATAAAGTCAATCTTCTCCTTGTCACTTGTGAACTTTGCTGAATGAAATTGTAACATTTCATTTGACCTGGACCCAATCATACTACCAGTACTATACACAGTACGTGTACATCACTGGAGGACAGTTACCTTGCCATACCAAACTAAACAAAAAGACAATGTTGGTTCTTTGCATTTGCACATATTTTGTTGTAAAGAACAAGAGGTTTGATCAAATATTAAGCAGATTAAAAACTTGTTTTACCTTCCTGTGGTGTGTTCTATTTGAAAGCTTGGTTGTGTACTGTCTCTTGATTCAGACAATTGGCTCAAATCTGGAAAAAAAAGAGTTTAAATTAAAACCGTTGACAATGAAACAAGTATCACTTGTACTCAATTTGTGTTCCAAAAACAGGCACACAGGAGTATTTCCTCACTTTCAAGTTCTTTTAAGAACTCTGTTCTGTGTCACACATTGAAGGTTCCCTAATAGTAGTTTGAAGCAGACAACATTTGAAGTGGACACAATTCACAGAGACTGTAACTTCCCCAACAATGTATGGTACATCTGTAACATACGGTGCAAACTCCTTGATAGGATATACCACACAGGGATACCATATCAGCGAGTATAACAACAAACAAATTGAAACTTGGACTAACTTACTGAGAGCCTGCCTCTTCAACTTATCAACATTGATACAAAAAAATGGTTGAAAACAGATTGTGCAGCTGCTGTACCGGTACTGTTTCATGACATTTGCTACATCTCAAGGAAACTCTGCTTGGAGAACATGAGTGGCCAAATGTAGGGAAGGTGCACCCACAATGCCTGCCACCTGAAGGAGAGACATGGGTGGCTCATAAACAAAGTTTCCAAAATGGGAACTTATTTGTCTTGAATATTCCATGTTTTGGTTAGTTAGTGCTCTGCTTTCAGCCTGGAGGATCCCCTTCCTCGGGTGAGCCTTTAACTGAGAAAGTATAGGGTAGGAGAGGAGGTACAGGGTTGGAGGGGAACAAGATTAAGATGGAGCTTGCATGTATTGCATACTATCTTGGGCAGCCTATAAATTGAAAATGATGCTTCTACTAATACTTTTCACGTCGTATTTACAAAAAGATCTTCCCTGCAAGTGTTTAATGAGCAATACCATCAGAATGTGGACATGGCTGAAAAATAACAAAATTTACTAATCTTCAAATTTACAAGCACCATGACCCCATGTGTGGTATCAAATAGACCTTTCTCAGGGTATGCCATCTTGGAAATCAAAACGAGGCATTTAATACCAACAAACATGGCGGCATAAATAGTGTGTGCGATGAACGAGCAACTCTCACAAATTTACAGCAGATTAACACTTCTTATGAACAGGTGGATAGCTTGAATTCCCCGAAACATCAATCCACATTCCAGGTAGGTCATGTCTCATTGACCAAATGATTTCCATAAAATAGTGGCCGCATGAGGTCGCTGTTTGCGCTGTATTTTAATGCATGTATACTGTTATAACAATGCCTTGCACACTGCGTATTGTGTCATGAACTGCACATTCTGCATGTACATGCATCTATGAATAAATCATGTGCAACATGGCGGCCCGCATGGCGAACCCCAAGTGATGAGTCTGTACAATTCTTTATCAATTCTCATCAACCTAAACCCAGTATTATAAAATGGTGGCAGCAGTGGTCGACTCAGAATAGAATAGCCATTAATTTGCATTCCACTTTTTACATCAAAAAGTGACATTAACGATACAACTAATGTCCGAAGACATGAGTTTCACACACAGGAATCCACCAACATGACAGACACCGCGATCGATGGCCCAGTCCCGATCGTTGAGGGCGGTTTCCGCCACTCTGCTCGTCAGCCGTCTGGACACATGTGACCATATTGAAGACATTCGCAACTATACCGAGCATCTAGACCTCCCATCATCCTGACATCATCATCAAGCATCATGACATCCCTGCGGCGAAACAACCGGCAGTTTTGATATTGGTTCCACTGTCTACAAGACTGTAAAAATCCTAGCTAAACCAACTCCAGTGTCACAGAAGAGCTACAAAGAACTATGTGATATGCTGGTGTCTCACTATGGCCCGAAGCGTCTAGTTGTAGCAGAGCAGTTCAAATTTTACAAACGCGATCAACACACCGATGACTCCGTCGCTATGCAGTTGCACTACAAAACTTGGCCATGTCACATGTCCATCATGTTCTCAAAATACTCCAAGGAGCTGGGTTGAGGGTAAACAAGGACACTTGCAAAATTGCACAAGTACAGGTGAATTTCCTCGGCCATCGATCTTGGTAAGGAAGGAATTCATCCTGACCCTGCCAAAGTAGACACGATCCTGCAAATGTTGCCACCTACAACGAAGGAGGAATGTAAACGTCTGATAGGTATGGTCAACTGGCTTTCTCGCTTCATACCCCATTCAGACTCTGTAGCCGCATCGCTAAATGACCTGATGAAAGATGACACAGAGTGGACTTGGGGCCCAGCACAAAGCACTGCGTGGCAACAACTCAAGACTCTACTTACAACAGCCCAAAACGCTTGCATACTACGACCCACAATGGTCAGTGCCCGACGCCAGCATACAGTTACGACATTGGTGGTCACATCCTTAGGAAAACGAGTCCTGCATGGAGGCCAGTAGCATATTGCTCTCGAAGCCTGACACATGCAAAACAATGTTAGGCATGGATCAAAAAGGAGCTACTGGCTGCTGTCTGGTCATGCGAGCATTTCTACAACTATCTCCAGGGTCTACGAGTGATGCTCAACACATCAACCAGAAGGACTTGTGTGATGCCCCCTGCGTTACCAACTACTGATGAGACTGATGAAGTACAACTGCGATGCAGAGTACACCCTTGGCAGTGTTGTAATCGAGTCACCAACGTCGAGTCTGAGCTCGAGTCTTGAGTCACAAGCCTCGAGTCCGAGTCTTGAGTCACAAGCCTCGAGTCCGAGTCTCGAGTCACAAGCCTCGCGTCTGAGTCACGGGTTACTTGTTCTTTATAGTTGTTCACCAAACTAATCAATTTTTAAAAATTATTTTTCAATCATCCATTCTGCCTTTAAAGTAAATCCCAGTGTATACAGTTTATCTTGTGCGTGTACATGCTGTTTAGACCCAAAATGTCAACCAGAAGGACTTGTGTGGTAGCGGGGTAGTATTTATTAAAGATTCTACCTCAGGGTGTGGTCGTCCCTGCCCCTTTAACGTGAGCCTCAGGTCCAACTGGCCCGGTTGGTAGCACCTGACATGGGTCCCTTCCCAGGGTTACGGGCAAAGATGGTGCAGCAACCAGGCGCGGTTCTAGAGCCAATATTTTTGGGGGGCTAGCACGGTGAATCCAGAATTTTTTTTCAGGGAAGCGTGCTGAAATGTTGACCGGTTATTTTTTCCAGACACTTAGGCCTCCGAAAATCAATAGGTGGTGGTGGTGGTGGGGGGGGGGGGGGGGGGGGCTCATGCCATATTTTCAATGGGGAGCACCAATAAAATCCTAAAATCATTCACACTATAGCAAGGGCGGATCCAGAACACAATTTTTTTGTGGGGGCCCAAAAAAAATTTGGTCCCCCCAAAAAGTGGGTCCAAAAAATTACGGCGTGGGGTTCGGGGCCCGCTGAAGGGCCCCGAACAATTTTTGGATTCTAGATGCTCTGTGGTGCGATCTGAGGCAATTTCTGACCACTTTAACCAATTGTTTTTTGAGGAAAAGATGGTGGTGTACTCATTGCCTGCCTTAATTGCGATGTCACATAAAAAAAAAGATAATTGGTTTCGTTTTTTTTGGGGGGGGGGCCATGGCCCCCTTTGCCCCCCCCCCCCCTCCTGGATCCGCCCTTGCACTATATTAACTAATGCACCCTTGTCACGGCTATTTCTTCTTTAGGGGGAGACCGTTCACATGTACATCACATGCAATCCTTCTTTTTGCTAAGGCAATTTTTTTTTTAAGGAATTTATTTTGGGGGGGCTAGACACAATTTTGGGGGGCTACAGCCCTCCCCTTACCTGAGAATATCATCACCAGGATTGATTGCCCTATTGGCAATTCTGACCACTCCTCTTTGTATGTAACATTCAACAATCTTGCTGTCTATAGACAAAAGCCGATCAAAAAAAACATCTGGATGTACAAGCATGCTGACTGGGATCTCTTCCGTGAGCAAATGTCCACTGCTGAATGGTCCAATTACCTGCACCTAGTCAGTATTGATGAATGCTGGTCACACTTTGAAAATGAAATCAAAGAAGCTATGGACCTCTGCATACCAAAACGTATCATTTCAACTAGAGCCGACACACGTACTTGGTTTGATAAGAGCTGTAAGGATGCCTTAAATGAGAAGGTTAATCTTTGGAATAAATGGCACAAATCCCACGATAGAAACACCTGGAATGAGTACAAACACGCAAGAAACCACTGCCAGTACACATACAGACGGGCTCAAAAGAGGTCTAGCGAGAAACTGAGAGCCTCGCTTGATGATGGGAATAAATCTTCCAAGCAGTGGTGGAGCACGCTGAAATCATCACTTAACTTAAATCATTCATCCAGTGTACCGACTCTCTTTGTGAACAATCGGCCAATAACTGATGATAAAGCTTAAGCTGAATTGCTTAATTAAACTTGTATAGGTAAACAGCTCAACCCAGTAAATGAAACGACTCCTAGCTTGCACTCTTCAACAAACGTTGAACTCAACAACATCACTTTCTCAACTAAGGTCATACTAAAGGAACTCTGTAACCTTGACACAAATAAGGCTAGCGGTCTGGACAACATCCCTCCAATTGTGCTCAAGTTTGCAGCTCCCGAACTAGCTGTTTCCCTGACTCGTTTGTTTTGCAAATCTCTTGACAGTGGCACTGTTCCATCAGCCTGGTAGTTTGCAAATGTAACGTCTGTTCCCAAAGCTGGCTCATCAAGTGACCCTAAAAACTATAGGCCGATAGCACTCCTTCCAGTTGTCTCCAAAGTCATGGAAAGAGTCTTAAATCATGCTCTTCTCACACACTGTTGTGCAAACAACCTATGACCCAATCTGCAGTTTGGCTTTCTCCCCAAAAGATCTACAAATGACGCTCTTCTTCTTATCACGCAACAAATTCTGAATAACCTCGATAAAGGGTATGAGTCTCGCCTCATCGCACTTGATTTGCCTGCAGCATTTGATCGGGTGTGGCACACAGGACTTCTTGCTAAATTAAAGAACTGTGGCATCACTGGCAACCTGCTCTGCTGGTTCAAGTCATACCTAAGCAACAGATTTCAGCAGGTAACAGTTGGAGGTCAAACTTCACGCAAATCACCCATTACGTCTGGAGTACCCCAGGGCAGTGTGCTGGGTCCTACTCTTTTCCTCATCTTCACCATTGACATCACTGAAAACCTTGAAAACACCATGTTTAGCTATGCAGATGACTGCACACTATTCTCCACAATCACATCTCCAGGGCAGAGAACACAATGTGCAGCATCACTTCAACGAGATCTGAACAAGCTAGCACCATGGGCAGAGAACTGGAAACTTAAGTTCAATGCATCTAAAACCCAGTCGATCATCATTTCACGATCAAGATCTACAGACCCACAGCATCCTCAACTAAATTTTCTTGGGCAGCCACTACACAACGTGGACTCAATCAAAATTTTGGGAGTGACATTGAATGCTAAACTCTCCTGAACTCAACATATTAGCAACCTGGCCCTAGCCTCTAGTAGAAAACTAGGGATGATGCGGAAAGCAAAATGGAATAACCTGGACAGCAAAACTACTGCTACCATCTACAAATCCTTCATTAGACCTAAATTGGAATATTGCAGTCCAATCTGGGGTACGGCAGCTAAATCAAAACTGGGGATCCTTGACAGACTTCAAAAGAAAGCCATAGCTTCCATTCCACCAACTCTTCATGCAGAACTAGGTATTCAGCCTCTAAGTCATCGTAGGCAAGTTGCTGGTCTAACAGTCTTCAGGAAAATGCAGTGCTCTCCTCTGCCTCATCCTCTTGACAGACTCAAACTACCTCCACTCACAGCACGCTGTTCTACCAGGCAGTCATCTGCATCCCATCAATATACAGTCGTCATTCCAAAATCACGTACCTCACAACATCTGAGGTCATTTACAGCATCCTATGCAAGGCTTTGGAACTCACTACCCGCTTCTGCTGTGTTAGCTCCATCTAGCCAATCTTTTAAATTAACTGTCCATAATTTGCTCTTTTAACATGCCCCCTGCTCATAATTTATTAACTTTAGCTGTGGTTTTTCTACTAGCTTCATGTTCTCTTGAGGAGGGCCTAAATTTAAAAAAAAAAAAAAAAAAATGTGTTTTCCTTTTAATTCCCATCCCTAAAAAAACCTCTTCCATCCCTTCCCTCCATGTTTTATCATCCAAACATTATTCCTCAATGATTCTTTCCCATCCCTACTTTATGTTTTTTCTTTTGATGAAATATGTGACTCGAGTCACGGGTCATCATGGTCGAATTCGAGTCCAAGTCATATTCCAATGTGACTCGAGTCGAGTCCGAGTCACGAAAAATGTGACTCAAGTCCGACTGGAGTCCGAGTCCTGGACTCGAGTCCTACAATACTGATCTGTCGAGAGCTCCTCTCCATCGCAACAACACGGCAGAGTCCAAGGAATATTTGGAAGACAGCCCATGTACACCTGATCACATCCCAGTGGCCCGCATCTGATGTGAAGCTGGTTGAAATAGCCGCAGAAACCAGCTATGACCTACGCCGAGTGCAGTACACCCCAGGTAAGAACCTATTTGTGGCCGACACACTCTCAAGAGCCCCTCTCCATCGCAACAACACGGCAGAGTCCAAGGAAGATTTGGAAGAGGAGATCGAAGCCCACCTGATCACATCCTAGTGGCCCGCATCTGATGTGAAGCTGGTTGAAATGACCGTACCCTGGGTGGAGTCATCTCTTTCGACAAAGATAAATGGCCAGAGTACCAGAAAGATGTTGACCCACAGTTTATACGGTTCTAGGATGACCTGGACAAGATCAGCCTAGTAGGTGGTATTCTCACATATGGGTGACCTCACTGTGATACCTCTGAGCCTGCGACAACAACTGTTGCACAACTACTTGTAGAGTGGAACCGGTCGAGTGCTGGAATCGGCTCTGATGGACCCAGGTACAAAATTCCCAGCTCCAATCCGAACGAGACACGGACATTCTAGATCTATTGAGCTTTAATAAGTTGCAAGAACATGAGTATTATTATTATCTAGCAGCCCACCACATGACATTGCCCTGTATCCAAAAATCACGATAAAGGTATATTTCAACAATCACGATAAAGGTATATTTCAACAACATGCTAAAGTTCATGTATTATCATCAGAGGCCATTTCCACCAATCTTTTAACTAACCTGGTTGAAAAGTAAATGTCTACATACCATTTTCAAAACAGAAGAACCCAGTTATACAAGATGCAATGACAAAACCATAATAATGGTCATTAACATGTTGTCATAGTTTTCTCATATTATTCCTTTTGTTTGTGGGTTGCCTTTTTGGGAGACACCCTGTATTGTAGCTCTTTCATATTTTTGCAAAACTCCTTATATGATTCAACAAACAATTGTAACTGACTGCAAAGTTTCCACCTTAATATGGTATGTCAAATGCTTATTGTTCTATATGAGCAGTCTTTCTTTGGTGCAAAAAATATACTTGATAGCATTTCTCCACGCTCATAAGTCCCATGTTGGCATTATCCATAAAAAAATCATTGTGTTGATTGCCAATTGCACTTCGTCCTTGGTAAGACAATTTGTTGGTTAACTGAAGTAAAGGTAAGAACCTATTTGTGGCCGACACACTCTCAAGAGCCCCTCTCCATTGCAACAACATGGCAGAGTCCAAGGAAGATTTGGAAGACGAGATCAAGACGAAGACAATTTGTTGGTTAACTGAAGTAAAGGTACGAATGCTGAAATGACCACTTTTGAACTTGAATGAACTTGAGACTACGGGTACGTGTTTCTGGTTTCAGTAGTGCCCATAAACCTGTTTTAACTTTTTCCTCTTTTTTGGCCTGCAATATAGCTTTTGTTTATCAGTTTTTCATCTGACAACTTGGTCATGAGAATGTCATCAGTCAATGAAGCAACTTAGTCTTTTGCTTTATATTGCTGCTGAATATCCCCCAAATCTCTTTATCTGCAGTGCTCAACTCACCTTTGAAAATGAGGTGACTAAGTTCTGTTTCTGTGTCATGAGTCTCTGTATGTATGGCAGTATCAGGTAAATACACAACTGATTTGAGCCGTGCCCAGGCAGATTGGTGCTTGAAGGGCCAGGTTTTGAATAAGTGTTGTACGCTTTGTGTTAGTTGTTCTGACCAACAAGGGAATCTCCCTACATGTCAGGGGGTATGCCTAGAACGTCTGATTGCATTCTTTTCTCCTGTAGGCAAGTGAAACCTGGTCAGTAGTTGCTAGTGACATCTAACACCTTACCCGCAACAATAATGCCATAATCAGACTGCTTTGTTCAGCAAAGCTCTCGGACACAAAACCTATGGCTGAGCTAATGTGCCAACTTGGTCTGTCAGCTGTTGATGAGCTGTTTCATCAGGACGCCTTGATTGGTTTGGTCACCTCCAGCATATGAACAAGGACAGCTGGCCAAGGAAGATTTAGATTTTTGACTACCAGATCGCTGGCAACTATCCATGTTGGCATAATGGCAGGATCTGGACATGGCAGTCTTGCCAACTGAAGTGAAAATGCCAGTGGGTAAATGCTCTTGCAATTGTACCTTGCTATCTTTCTCAACGTTCTTTTTTCCTCCCTTTTCTCTGACTGGAATTTGAACCTCTAACTTCAGATATTCAAACACAGCATATTGAGCTCTAGGTGCCTCCTACAGACTCTTTGGACATTTCTTTCAAGTATCCAATGCAGATAATCTCGGTGAAGGTGTTAGATGTGCTGACAAATACAACAAATCTCTTTTCTCCAGTACACTTTTGATAAATGCTTCAGTCATGATTATAACAAAGATCTGTGTGTATTATCAGTAAGTGAAAATAAAGTACTGAACACATGCATTGACCTGTGTACATGTACCTATGTCTGACAGAGTACGGGCATATGTCCGTTCTTAGCCAACTACATGTAGATTGCGTAAAAGCAAACACTAGCATTTATGCATAGGCCCTACAACCCATTGGGTCATCTTAAGGATCAGAATCAGTGTTGTACTGATGAGCGTGCAACTTGATGATTTGGCCTCTTTGTTTAATGTAAACCCCAGCAAATGCTGTGAAGTTTTTGAGCAAAAAACAAAAGCATTTACTATTGAGTAAAAGCATTAGGGAAAAGCAAATACCCAAATGATTATGAATAAATATTTCTTTCATTGTGAAACATTCACTGGCTGGCATAGTAGCAAATATTTCAAACGGTTGAATTCATTTCACAGACGAAAGGTTTCCAACAATATGCTCAAAAACAAAATATGAAATGAAGCTGCACATCAAGAAACTGTGGCTCGGCTAAATCATCCCAACTCCATACTGCAAAACAAGGTGAATGACTGCGGTAGATTCAATAGTAATGTCCATCAATGCAATGGTGCAATAGTGAAAAATCTTGGTCATATTGTTACATTTACACAGATACAATGTATGTGCCTACCTGAAAAGATCGGTGGAGTTTCTTCCATCCTAGACCCTGTAGCAGAATCCACTGATACATCTCTCGGTCGCTCTGGACTTCCCGGCATTATTTCTTGATTAGAACCTTGTACCTACAGTCAAAACAAAAATCACAATACAATGTGAAGAACTTGTGATCTATGAAAAAGGAGCATTTCTGGCAAAGTTATTTAAAAATGTAATAATATGGTACTTCAAACAAATGTGGAATGTGCTGGTTTGGGGTTCTTTAAACATGTTTCAACAAAAAGTGCACACAAATAGCTAGGGCACTAGCAGCTATGATTGCAGGAGCAGATTCAAGATTTTCCAAGGGGGGGCGTGAAATGTAACGAACATGGGTGTCACGAGGGGGGCGGCACTTGCCCCCCCCCCCAGGCAAGCCCCCCCCCCCCCAAAAAAAACTAGAACATTGGTGAAGCCGCCATGGCTCACTGTCAAAGGTGGGAAGGAAGGCTGACGGTAAGGTTGGGGATGGGCATGATGGGGATCAGGATTATGTTTAATGAGTGTGTGTGTTGAGAGAAGCAGTTGTTGTGTTGCTGTCATAAGTATTGTCAGTTTCGCTTTTTCCTTCTCAACAATATTCCTCATCAGTGCCATCTACTCCTCCTTGGTCGGTAGCCGTAGCTGCTTTGCGTTGGCTGTGTTGCGTAGGCGCTTGCTCACCGTATTAAGGTCATTGTCGAGGACAATTGGAAGTGTGGTACAAGGGCGTACTTGCGAACCTTCCATGCCTGCTTCTGTGCTAAAGTACTCCTCGATGAATTTCTGAGCAGGTACATCTCTAGGTAGCCGCAGGACATGGCTGAAGAGTTGCCAGCTTGCTTCAAGGGTCCTGATGCTGGAGTGGACCACACTTGCAGTGTGAGTGGACCACACTTGCAGCGACCATAGAGTGTTTTGTTGGAGATGCCATGTGGCCATCACATACCAATGATCTGTCGTAATTGGCTTCGGTGGAATGAGTCCAGTTGGTTGTTCTGTTTTTGAGTGAGGCACAGGTACCCATTTTGTAGTGAAATACAGGAAGCACGAACTTGTTATTAGAGGCACATACGGAGTTCCTCACTCACGTGGTAGCACCGTAGCCATAGTGTTTTTATCTTTTGGAATGCTACATTGGTTACCTGCTTACGATGGGCGACATCTTCCCCATCTTCCAACATTGAGCCGAATTTCTTTGTCATGCACCACTCCTTTCCCCACAGTCTACCTGACGCTTCATTGTAGTGTGCTCAGTCTTTGTGGGTTGATGATTAGAAACAATTGAAGCAGACTTCCTGGTGTGGTCTGCTCCACTGTGTTGAGAAATTCTCGCGAGTAGCTAACAAAGTCTATGTCATCAGCATATGCTACATCAAGAGGAAGACCACCGTCTCCAGTGCTTTGCGTCTGCAGTTGTCCATGAAGGTCACGAAGAGCTGCTTCTAGGTATACCACAAACAGTACTGAAGACAGGCTGTCTCCCTGAGGTGTGCCGATGGTGGTGTCAAAGGGTTCACAGGTGCCCTTCTGCAGGCGGGGCACTAGTGATGTTTCTGCTAAAAAAAAGTCGAATGATGCGTAATTCCGACTCATCGAGAAATGTATGAAGAACTTGCATTAACCGGTTTCTTCTGATGGTATTGAAGGCGCGACTCATATCAAGCCCAAGAAGCTCTGCACTCTGCTTACATTGTTGTGTCTTGGCGCACAGCAAGCGGTAGCCTAATACTGCGTCCGCTGTTCCACGACCTCGACGGAAGCTGATTTGTCCCGGGACCTATTGCTCTTGCTGGTTCATCTGCAGAGCCAACTTCAACTCCTCCAGTTCTACTCGCAGCTGCCCCACACCATCGGCCTCCATTGCAGCTCTTTAGGTTCTCCTCACCCCACCAGGCTACTACGCCATATTTGACAACCGAGAAAATGGTAACCAACAAGGATAGTGTGCTTAACGATGATAGCCTTGTAAATTAGGAGCTGTTATCGAGGTGGCTCTAACTGGAAACTACTGTATTGTGTGTGCTGTGTTGCTCCTTCAAATACTGAGTGGTGAATGATTCTCAATACAAAGACTATGCTTTACATATGTGGTTACCTTAAGGGTCAGATGAGGATGCTATATATGCAAGGGCTATGTATAAATGGCCTGTCATATATGCAAGATCACGTGTGCTATTTTGTAGTAAGAGGCACCATAGACTAGGTCACTTGTAAGGTCAAATAAAGCATGCTTACATTGCACCACAACCGTGTATAGTTGTCTAGCTCGAATAGCCCAACAAAACCTTCAAGTTATGCACTTGAAATATCACAAATGGTGATGAGGATGTTTCTGAGGAACCCAGCATTGATTCTTTTTTAAGTTGTCATCCGTTTGTAGTCATTTGTTGGAAGTACTGTTATGTATGTTATGTCTAGAAGTACTGTATACATCAAATGAACTATTCCATGAATGTGTGCGTCGTATGTCACGCTGTACTGTACCATCAAAGGCAGTGCACTAATCACCATGGCCACCTCGATAACAGCTCTTGATTTACCAGGCTATCACCGTTAAGCACACCATCGTTGTTGGTTACCATTTTCTCGGTTATCACATATGGCGTCGTAGACAGGATGTTGTGCTAAACACTGCATACCCAACCTGGTGAGGTGAGGAAAACCTAAAGAGCTGCAATGGAGGCCGATGGTGTGGGGCAGCTGCGAGTAGAACTGGAGGAGTTGAAGTTGGCTCTGCAGATGAACCAGCAAGAGCAACAGGTCCCAACCAGTAGCTCTTCTGCCACAACTCAAAACCGTGACCAACTCGGTCCGTAACCAAACAAAGTGCATCCGGGCGAAGGCTTGACTGCTTCGGGGGAAAACCAGAGAAGTCGACCGACCCATCTGTTTTGGAATGGGTCAGTGACATCAAGGGTCAACTGACAGCAAGGCAGCTAGATGGGAGCAACACCACAGCCGCCTTTATCATCAACCACCTGGCCGGTAGAGCAAGGCAGGAGATCTTTGGCAGAGGGCAAGACATCGAAGGAGGGCAGAAAGATATTTTTTGAATTCTGCTGAAGGTGTTTGGAGCAGGGGACACCCTACCACAGCTCCAGCAGAAATTCTTTTCCTACCGTCATGGACAAACCAAGGACCTACTGAGCTGCTTCCTGGAGCTGGTTGAGTTGTTTAACTCAATAGCCTGCCTGCAGCGATGTGTCCCTCAGCACCCGGCCCCCCCCCCCCCCAGCAACTGTTAACTAGGACGGCCTGCCAATGTGAGCCAACGACGGGCTACCAGGTTTTACAAGACAGCGGCTCAATAATTGAGAAGATAGTAGCAACTGCCTGGTTGCAGAGGTGAGTACAACTCGAGTACACACACACACGTACTCAGCCCGTACTCGACTATCAGTACTCAAAAAAAAATTTGGACTTGGTCCGTACTCGATTCTTCGTACCCGAAGAAGAATTGGTACTCCACCTTGGTACTCGGTACTCGACCCCAGTACTTGGGAGTACGCATCAAGTACATTCCTGTTAAATCGATTCCATTGCTCAACCTGGCACACAATGGCGCGCTTACAGTCTGTATTACGACTTAGTCCAGTTCCCGCCTCCCCAATGTTACTTTTACACTGAGGATTCGTGAATCGGGAGCCAGCCAAGCTCAAGCTTCATATGTGACCTGTTCTGTCAAAATCAGACTTTTCTGGGCATAAGGTCGAAAATGATATTTTTACATATTGTTAACATATGTTCTTTTTCCTTTTAATAGGTGGTTTAATTTTTGATACCGGTCATTCCTGGGCAGAGTTATGCTATTTTGAAGTTCATTGTGTTGAAAAGTAGAAAACTGAGAAAATGGCCACGAACGTCACAGAACAGTTATTTCTTTAACTGATATACCTTATCAAAATCATCAAAAATAGTACATGTAAAGTTCAAATTAGGGTTTCAAACTTTTATAATGTATGTTCAGGATTACAAATATGCAAAAATTTGAAAATCGATAAAAATCACCCCCACAGCGTGTTTTGGCCCTATCTCAATTTCAACCTCTGCCCAGAAGCGTCTATTCGCCTTTTGCGGACGTGACAGGAACCACAGTTTTTGTGCATTGGTGCCGTGTGCAGAACACACAACGTGTACATGTACGTGTATGGATTATGTACGGTGCCACGTTTCACTATGCAAGTTTTCACGCAACGATCAACCAATAAGAAAACGACATTTAAGGTCAGCTAAGGCTGTTAATATAATGAGCACCACCCCAAAACCTCACATGGACGATTGAACCAAGGCGCTAGATTGGGTCCAACTGATTTGCATAGAAATGGTGGCCGCGTGAGGTCGCTGTTCGCGCTGTATTTTTAATGCACCGCATGCATAGCGCTAGCGAGGATATCGTTTACCGCGCTACGGCCGGGATGAACAACTAGCGCCTTGACCAAGGCTAACCCGGGGGAAGACATCCTCCGCATTTTTTTACGGACGTAAAGCGATTTTGGCGCCGCGGGAGACCGCTGTCTTGGATACTTTCAGGAGCAAACATCATTGCGGAGGCCGAGTAAATCTTGCTCTTATATATATAGATTTTTACATTGTTTACATTAATAAAAGTTGTTTAGTGTTAAACCAGTTGGTAAAAAAGAGTGGAATGCGTGCTGTGTTTGTTTTTATTTTATTTCATTTCATTTATTTATTTCTTTTTCAAATTTATTTTTGTACTTTTTTGGTATTGTACTCAAGCTTGGACTTGGACTTGGACTTAAGTACTCGGACTCGGCCAAGTACTCGTCCATGAAAGTACTTGGAACACTGGTGCCTTGGGCCTACAAAACACTGAATCTAGGCCTGCAAGCAATGTCTCTACTTGTTGTTGATTGTTCTGTGAAGCCGGCAGCCGGCAACAACGTCTATCAAGCAATGGTGGAGGAGCTTGATGTACACATGAAACATCTTCCAAAAGGTTTGATGATCGCCCCAACTCTTGTAAGAGTTGAAAAGAGTGGCAAAGTCTCCATCCAAGTGGCCAACTTCAATGAAGATGACATGTATATTCAACCCAGGACCCCTGTTGCAATACTTTCCTGTGCATCCCCCGAGTATTGCTTTTCCCAATCCCTTGCATCAGACTGTGAAGTCTCTGCACACCAGAATCCACAGCAGCATCAAGGTATCAGAAAGTTAATCTCTAGATATAGTGAAGTCTTCAGCAAGGATGAGGATGACATTGGCTACTGTAATAAAATAGAGCACCAAATCATCGCCACAGACGACATACCAGTCAAAGTAACTTACAGACGTATTCCCCCACACCTATCACACCATGCATGATTGCCTACGCACACTGCCCCCGGACCAGAAGCACAAATGGCCGTAAAACCTCCCAGAGTTGATCTATGCTTATAATGCCACACCCCACTCCTTAACAGGCTACTTCCCCTACTACCTCATTTTTGGACGGGAAGCAAGGTTACCGGTAGACTATCTTCTTGGGCACAGGAGAGAGGTAGACAACGATCCAGAGATTGACCAGTGGGTAGCAGATTATCAGACGCGAATGGAGCAAGCATTCGAAAGAGCTTAAGGCACAGCGGAAAAGAGGCCCCTCGAAGACAACAAGTCAATGACGACATAATGAGACATTGAGGCAGGAAGATCTCCACGTTGAGGCCAGGGTCTTCCTTCGCAATCATACAATCAGAAATAAGGGCAGAAATAGTGCTGCAGCCGAATGGCCATACCGCACTAAAAATAGTCGAACTTGATACGAAGTGAATAGCAATGAATACTACAACTTAACAATACACCTCTTGTTATTCTTTTATACTTTAACATTAAGACCCAGTCACCATATGCCTCTACTTTTCAATGAAATCAAGAAAAAACAAGATTTGTGTCCCCTAGAACGTTTTAATTGTCCATAGTGAGCGCTCTAATGGACAGGACACATTCCAATGATTCAGTCTAGATTCATTTTAGTTGTTAGCTCCTGCAGCTGACCTCCTTAAGAAGACCACAGCCAAGAAACACTTTATGGACTCCAGTCCTGTTCTATTTTATAATTGGTTATTTCACCAACAAGTTGCATGACACTTTGAACAGTGGCGGATCTAAGTTCATTTAAATACAGGAATACAAAGGGATAGATGGGGCACAGCCCCACTTGTTCCATTGTATTGCTGTATTTTAATGAAGCTGGATGCGCCACTGTTGAAAGTGCAACATGCATTGAAAATCATTAAATTATGGTGAGGACACTTACCTGTGAAGACAGAGACTCTGTTGCACTAGATGTTTCTTTGTCTCGTCTTACTGTTTGATAACTTACAATGCTTTTAGCTGACACATTTGGAACCGCTTTGCTTTTCCATAAAGCCATCAGTTTCTTGCTCATTGTCAAACCTTAATGATGAAGTATAAAGAGATAAATATTTGTTTCAAATTTGTTACAATTTGTTTCACTGAATAAACAACAATGAGAAACTGACTTACTTAATCATTAATATGATCCTATGCCAACTACCCATTGACTTATCTAGCCAAAGTTGGCAGTTTTTGAGTCAAACCAGTTTCACAAATGCCACGCCAAATAGTTGCAAATGCCATGCCAGCTGCCACACTGTTACAAATACAAATCTCAACTCTGTAATCTACTATTTATTAACCACTTCATTTGCATTATTATTAAAGTTATATACTCACTTCTCCTTCCAGGCAACTCTAACAATTGTTTTGCCGTCAGTAATGGCGCTACAGGAAGAATCTGTCCAGAAAAAAAAAAAATATGCCACTTGGTACATGCAGTATTGTAGTTGAGTCACCAACGACGAGTCCCAAGTCAAAGTCCTGGGTCACAACCTCGAGTCCGAGTGGTGAGTCACTTGTTCTTTCATCAAACAAATAATTTTTTTTCAAAATTTTTTTCAAACATCCATTCTGTCTTTCAAGTAAATACCAGTGTATATAGCTTACCTTGTGTGTGTACATGCTGTTTAGACCCAAAATTTGATGGCTGTTTCGGCAACCAGCCAAAACAGCCTTTGTTTTTGGCTTTTTCGCATAGTGTGGAAAAGCCTTTGTTTTTGTTTTTTTTTGTTTTTTGGGGGTTTTTTTTGGCTCTTCCGCATAGTGCGGAAAAGCCTTTGTTTTTGTTCTCATTTTTTTTGGGGGGGGGGGGGCTTTCCGCAAAGTGCGGTAAAGCCTTTTTTTTTGTTAAGATTGTTCTTTCTTCTTCTTCTTCTTGTCGCCTAAATCCCATAGACTTTGTACACGATTTTTCTGCTCACCACTTTTGGCATAAATCTTTGTCATACATCATTCAAAGTTACCACAGGCAAGATTGACATCATGGTGACATCATTGACTAGTTTATTATAGATTTTCCATAGACTTTGTACACAGAAATTTAAAAAAAATTGCCGCTTTTCAAAGGGCATTTTCGACTCTTTGCCAGTAATTCATTTACACCACTCTTTGTCGAAGCGAAGACCCTAATTCAAACAACATTGTGTAATGATGATGTCATGATGACATCATCCGGTGTTTATTTATGGGCAATTAAATGGTGACACTTTTAATATTTAAAAATGCATAAGAAATCAACCGTACGCGTCCACAGCATTCTGTTGCCGGCAAGTGGTAGAGTAGGTTGAGGTCTTTATTTCATTCAGTGTGCGTGAAATCACATGACCCTTGCTTCCGGTCGAAAAAGGCCAAAACAGGAAGTGGCTTATTATTTAAAAGTGGTAATAGATATGAACTTGCTTTCAACGGTGTTAGTCTCTTGGCTGAGAGTATTCTTCAAATCATCTACCAATGACGTCATGTATTTTGAATAGATGTGTGCGGCGAAGTTTGTCGGAATCGCCTAAATATTGGTGTATATGATGACCTTGACCCACTTAAGACGTGTGCGAAGTTTTAGGCATATGGCGTCATCAAACTGGAAGTTCCGTTGAAAAGACCTTTCCTTTTTCAAAAATTGCTAACATATCAATCTGTACAGATATAATCTTGAATTGCCCATTAAATGATAGCGTAAACATTTGCCTCAACAGTGCCAAGTTCCCAGCTTGTCAAATTGTTCACACAGTTGACGCGACGTCGGCAAAAAATACCCTTGCATCAGTAAACTTGTCTCAGTGATTTTTTTTCTGCTTTAGGGGCCGGGGAAGGGCAGACAGACAGATGTCGTTCCTTTATTAGTATACATGTAGATACAAAATCAGAAGCCATGATGATGTCATGATGTGTCCCCGTGCATCATCTTAAAGGTGTACAGTCTGGAAGTCCTAAATCTATATATGTATAACAAAAACAACAACAGCACATAAAATAACAATGCATTCAAAACAGAAAACGTCACCACAATTAAAAAACATAATGCGGAAAAACAAATTTCAAAGCTGTTGCACAAAGTGTTTTTGTTTAACGAAATAACTGCACTAACTTATGTTATTGAAAACTCACACAATCATATTATTTATTCAAATGAGTACGTGCTCAGATGATTAGTCTCATTACACTCCAATCCCCCCCCAAAAGAAACAATCAGTTCAAAAAAATTTGAAGCCAAATTTGACTTATTTTTTGGTAAGTATTTTATTGAAGAACAGGCTTGGTTGACGACTTGTTGGTTGCTACATTGGAAAAGGCAAATATGTAACAATGGCAATTGACCAAAATACCAATAATTCAAATGTCTACATGATAGATGTCACCTTTTTTAGTACATGTACTATCAAAATGTTTGAGAATGAAAATATAGCTAATTTCTTAACACTTCAGAAATGGTGGAAAAGACAAATTTCATCTAAAAGTAAGATAAGTCCTCTTTATCCTTACCATATCTGATATCCTTTGTAATTGTTGAATCTTTTGGAAATGTAAAGGATTACTCACAGTATAAGTAAAGATTGTGTATATTTACTTACTTAACAGTCAGCCTGTCTCTACCAGCATGCATAATGCTCACAACACTCCAACCCACCCCCCCCCCCCCAAAAATAGAAGTCAAATTAAACTTATTCTTTTGTAAAGTATTTTAATTTTGAACATGCTTGGCTGATGGCATGATTTTTTATGATTTTTTTAATATTTACAATTTCATTCCGCTTCCAAAATTTAACACTTCCTTTCAATGGATTGACTTCAATGCAAAAATGTGCATTGGCATGTGTTAGCAAGATGACGCCATCGTAAGGCATGTTAGGTCATCATAAACGTGCATTTTTAAAGTCTTATATTGAGAAAACTATCAGTCCGAATGGGTCAAAATTGCATATAAAGGTAGTGCTATACGTCTGATTTCATATGGATTTATTTCTTTTTGACGATAATATATCTCAGAGACGCTACATACGTGTAATATACTAAAAAATTCTTGTACCGTATTCTTTGAAACATTGGACATGCATCGTCTGGAATGTGTTATTGATAAAAAAAAAAAGCATAATGCGAAAAAGCCCTATGTTCTGTTTTCAAACAGACATGGACATCTAGTTTCTTTCTTCTTTTTGTCGCCTAAACCCCATAGACTTTGTACACAATTTTTCTTCCCACCACTTTTGGCATTAGTCTTTGTCATACATCATTCAAAAGTACCACAGGCATAGTCCCTATAGCAAAGTTGTGTCCGTCAAAGAGTGACGTCATCATGACGTCATCATGGGTCACGTGACGTCATTTTAAATGTGCATATTATGAAGTCCATATCTACAGAACTGTAAGTTCCGATTGGGTTAAACTTGGTATGTAGGTAGACCAGGATGTGTTATAGATGAAAATTGAGGTGACGTCATGATGACATCATCATGGGTCACGTGACGTCATCCTAAAAGTGCATATTGTAAAGTCCTTTATCTACAGAACTGTAAGTCCGATTGGGTTGAAACTTGCTATGTAGGTAGACCGGGATGTGTTATAGATGAAAATTGAGGTGACGTCATGATGACGTCATCAAGGGTCACGTGACGTCATCCTAATTGTGCATATTGTAAAGTCCAATATCTAGAGAACTGTAAGTCTGATTGGGTTGAAACTTGGTATGCGAGTAGACCGGGATGTGTTATAGGTAAAAATTGAGCTGACGTCATCATGATGTCATCGTGTGATTTTATATGATATTTTTGGATTTTTTGGGTTGAAACTTGGTATGTAGGAAGACCGGGATGTGTTATAGATGAAAATTGAGGTGACGTCATGATGACGTCATCATGGGTCACGTGACGTCATCCTAATATAGTGCATATTGTAAAGTCCTATATCTACAGAACTGTAAGTCCGATTGGGTTGAATCTTGGTATGTGGGTAGACCGGGATGTGTTATAGATGAAAATTGAGGTGATGTCATCATGACGTCATCATGGGTCACGTGACGTCATCCTAAATGTGCATATTGTAAATTCCTTTATCTACAGAACTGTATGTCCGATTCCCGGAATCGGACATACAGTTGGGTTGAAACTTGCTATGTAGGTAGACCGGGATGTGTTATAGATGAAAATTGAGGTGACGTCATCAAGGGTCACGTGACGTCATCCTAATTGTGCATATTGTAAAGTCCTATATCTAGAGAACTGTAAGTCTGATTAGGTTAAAACTTGGTATGTGAGTAGACCGGGATGTGTTATACTATAGGTAAGAATTGAAGTGACGTGATCATGACGTCATCATGTGATTTTATATGATTTTTTTTTGGAATTATGGACCTTTAAGCCATATCTCACGAACGCAACATGCACAATTCAAAATTCTTTTCGTATTGAGTTTGTTAGGTAATAGGTATATGCACAACATTTTGAAAAATGTGTGACGTCATCATGACGTCATCAAAAATGCAATTTTTGAAAACACATACAAGGGAAGGTCCCATCATCATGAAACTTGGTGGATAGCCAGATAATGGTACCAGTACACCAGTATACTCGCATACCAAGTTTCAACCCAATCAGACTTACAGTTCTCTAGATATAGGACTTTACAATATGCACAATTAGGATGACGTCACGTGACCCTTGATGACGTCATCATGACGTCATCAAAAATGCAATTTTAGAAAACACATACAAGGGAAGGTCCCATCATCATGAAACATAGTGGATAGCTAGATAATGGTACCAGTATGCAAATTCCGAAAAGACGTCACCATGACGTCAACAGTTAATTTTTTTAATGATTTTTTCATACTTACAATATCATTGCGCTTCCAAAATTCAACACTTTCTTTCATCAGATTGACTTCAACCTTAGTACAAACCAAGACCAAAATGCAAAAATATGCATTGACAAGTGTAATCAAGATGGTGTCATAGTAGGGCATGTGACGTCATCAAATGCCAAATCTGAAGCTCAATAGAACTTTTTATGATATTTGAACCAAAAAATATAATTTACATGACTCCTCATTGGCAAAAAAGCATAAAGTCATGCAAAATAAAATAACCGGAAAAGCCCTATGATCTGTTTTCAAACAGACATAGATCTCTAGTTGTTAAGATTTTTTTTTTTTTTTTTTTTTCTTTCTTTTTCAGTCATTTTGCCCATTGCATTTGTACACTTTTTTGTTTTTTTGTTACCGGCTTTTTGGGCACTAAAATTAATCCGATTTCCTTTATACTCGGCATACACTTAGATCAGCATCTGAAGTTGTGCCCTGAACATTGACGTCATCGTGACATCATCATGAGTCATGTGACGTCACATTATAGGTGCATATTTTAAAGGCCTATATCTCCACAACTAAAAGTCCGATTGGGTTGAAAGTTGGTGTGTACCTAAACCGGGAAGTGTTATAGATGAAAATTGAAGTGACGTCATGATGATGTCATCACGTGACCTGTGACATCATATTAAAAATGCATATTCTGAAGGCGTATATCTACAGAACTAAAGGTCCGATTGGGTTGAAATTTGGTATGTACCTAAATCGGGATATGTTAAAGATGAAATTTGAAGTGACGTCACGATGATGTCATCACGAGTCACGTGACGTCATATTTGTAGTGCATATTTTGAAGGCCTATACTTGAGAACTACAGGTCCAATTCCGTTGAAAGTTGGTATGTACCTAGACCGGGATGTGTTATAGATGAAAATTAAAGTGACATCACGATGACATCATCATGGGTCATGCGACGTCATGTTAAAGATTAATAGATTTAATATGTGAAAATCAATATAAAATCATCCTTGAGAGACCTGAACTTGATGCTTGCGGGAATTGATAGAATAATCCAGGGTCTTCATTTTTGATATTACGTGCAAAATCACGTAACCCTTCCTTCTAGTTGAAACCGGAAGTGCCTTGTAATTTAAAATTAGTAAAAGATGTGAACAGGCTTTCAATGATACATAACATGTATGTCATGACGTGTATGTTAGAGCGCCCTCTAGTGGCAGGTTGTTACAGATGATAATAGATGAAAATTGATATGACGTCATCATGACGTCATCACATGATATGTGACTTCATAATTCAAAGCCCTATGAGAATGTTATCACATATTTATATGCCACCATTTATTATACACAGAATTACACTTCCTTTCTGGATGGAACTTATACTTGAAACTTTACATGTCACATATGACACAAAAAAAGTTACCGAAACAGCCCTGTGTTTGTCCACAAACATAAGTCTAGTTTTCCTTTTAATTCCCATCCCTAAAAATCCTCCATGATCCCGGACACTTTTTAGCATGATACCGGGATTTAGTGCTTGTTGTGCAGGCGTGTGCGCGGCCCCTGGATGTGATTTTCCGCAGCACCATGTTTATGGAGTAAAAAAGAATGCTACATAATGAAAACTATTGGCCCCAAACGTGCAAAAGCTCTACGTGTGCAGTGTCAACATACAGCCATGCACGTATATAAACTGCACGTATACAGTTGACCTGCAATACATGTACATTACATGTACATGCACCATGCACATTCAACGCAGGATTTGGAAACTGGGGGGACTTGGATTGCTCTATTACATATATTAGGGGAGAACAAAGGCTCTCAATGTTTATCAGTGGTTAAACCAAACGAAAATGTTGTTTCGTCAGGAAAAAAAAGAACCTTCTTTAATAATTTTTATATTTAAGGACTCCATTATTTTATATTTTTTACTTTCTACTATGTACTACCGAACATTTAAAACTCCCATTGATCTCATGCTATTTGGTAACTGTTTATTGACAGCTTCGTACCCACTATTCAAGTGGAACTGTCCCAAGCTGAAAACGTGTAGCGCGGCTATATAAGGCTTTTCATGGGTAATTTTTGTAAGAAAAGTGCTTATTGGAAGAAAACTTTGAGAGAAAAATGATCCCTAGGTTTAGAACCAATCACAATGAATTTTACATGAAAGAAAGAGGGACTCTTCCGTTTGAGCTATGTCAAGATAAAGATGATGGGTCATTATATAGCTGTCCGTTTGGGCCATTTTTCCATGCTTCTCCATAGACAAATCTGGCAGAGTGCAAAACTTTGAAGAAAAAATTATCCCTGGTTTTTCCGAAAATGTTTACGAAGCATACATAATCATAAAGCTTAAAATGTATTCTTTCATATTCCGATCACCCCAAATTAATACTGTGGGAGTCTCGTGTCGACGATGCCTTGGATATTGCTCTCTACTGACCCGACGAGCGGCTGTGGGGAAGGCCAGGGGAACAGGTCCGTTTTGGGGCAGTCTACCGCCAGGCGTGAAGGGAATTACCACACTCACTCGCGCTCTCACGCAAACCTCGCGAACATAAATAATTAATAAAACAATCTTAGCATGACTGATGCATCTTAAAAAAAAAAAAATCTGATTTTACATGTGTTTAATGTAGCCGTCTGCAAAAAACTAACTTCTAACACTGTTCAATATCCATGAAAAAAAATAATAATAATAAGAGTAACAATTAAAAATGATGGTGATAAACCGACAATCATCACACAACTGTTCACAGATCAAGTCTCTTTAGTTATTTGACTTGTCGACCCGATCACGTGATAGTAGGAGTGTTCGGAGTGTCTTGCACTTCTGTATTATGAGACGGCGGTGTGTCATCTTTGAATGTGACGTGTTTCTAACCAGGTAAGTTCGCGACCATTGGGTGTCACTATGACATCATTCGAACGTGGTTATTAACAATGCTGTTTTATCTTAGCTGGTGTCCACAACCGAGTTCGTGGATCCTGGACACGAACTAGTTGACCTGGTTGAAGTGGCTTGAGGTCATGTGCTGATCTGTCAGGGAATGCCTTTAGTTGTGTTTGTCTGTCCTGTAGGCGTTGGTATGTCTGGTCCTTGTGTTCCGATGTATTCTTAATCACAACGGGAAGGTTGCTTCAAACCTTTCTACCGCAAATTTAAGCAGTTCTCCAGGGCTTGGAAGTTTGCTGTCCACGGGGGTTGTCCGAAGGCAAAGAAGAGCCTTGCTGATGTTTTGTCCACTGGCCCTTGCTTTGGTCATCGTACACTTGACAGTTTGTATCATTCTTTCGACGAACCCATTTGTGTGTGGGAAATGAGGCAATGATGTCACATGTGTAAATCCCCATTCCTCAGCAAATGCTTTGTATGCGGACCATTATCACTGATAACCCTCTCTGGCACACCTTGCTCGGAAAAGATAACTGCACTACTTGTGCAATTTGCAGGCATTCTGCGAACCAGAGGAAACATAGAGTAATATAGTAAGCTATCATGAGGTACTCATTTCCTTCAAAGTGGAACAGGTCAGTTCCAAGTATTTGCCACGGTCGCGTCGGCAGCTCGTGTGGAGCTTTGTCTCGGTTGCACCTTGATGACCCTCATGCAGCTTGTTCAGCGTGTAGGTATGCATGGCTGTAGGTATGAAAACACAACATCCTTTCATTAGGATGCCATCAGCTATTGTGCGCTCATCACGAAATGACCAATATGGTCGGAGGGGAGCTACAGTCATGTCATGAGACTGTTCCAAGTCTACGAAGACAATTACGTCGTCTGCGATTCTGATCACGCCTTCACACTGTTGGAGTAATTGATCCATCTGATGTTGAAAAATATCCTGACTAACTACCAGGCCAAATGGCATGCGCTTGTAACAATAGTGACTGAAGGGGCTATTGAATGAATTGTCAACAGCAAACTGTCCTCATCGAGATGGATGGACCAGTAACCGTGCTTTGCATCCATTTTGCTGAAGACTTTTGCACCGGCAAGTTTGTGCGTGATCTCTTCGAGACTTGGTGTCTTATGATGACATTGCATGAGTGCCTTGTTAAGGTCTTTAGGATCCAAACAAACGTGTAACTGTTCATTAGCTTTGCGCGAAATTGCGATGTAACTAACCCAATCGGTGGGCTCGGTCACACATCGGATAACACCCTGTGCTTCCATCCTGTCCAACTCGGACTTAAGTTCATCACGGAGATGAATGGAGCACTTATGTTGTGCATATTCGACAGGTTGTGCACCTTTGAGAAGCATGACGTAATATGCACCAGGAAAATCAAACTGTTCAGGGTATGTGGAGATTAGATTCTCAACTGAATGAATCGGTTGGTGCTGTGGCATGATGTTTCGGTCGGACTGAGCATGCAATTCAACCAAATAGTTCAGAGCAACAATGTTCAACTGAAGAGCCGGCCGTGTGAAGACCAATGATAGCCGGACCATCAGTCTCGCGTACATTAATAAACACTTGTTAAGCTGCGCGTGAAAGTTGACACAGGCGCTCAAGGCAACACCTTGCCCCTTTGCAGATAGACTCAATGCCAATGGTTTCCCAAAGCTACAGTTAGTATCCAACCAACGCACCATAATACGTACCTACAATGACACAAAAATCAACCAGTATTGGTCAACATCACAAACAGAGTACGAACAGAGTGGATGGAGCAAGGCGGAATTCTTCATCGTAGAGTCCGAAGGCCCAGCAATACTTGGACTGCCCACATCTAGACAGTTTAAGCTCATGACCGTTTGGGCTTGTGATGAACCAAGATGTGTTCCAGATGCGCATGGACAATTTCTCGAGTCATGCCCAGGCATGATTAGCATCGCAGATGACATTGTGGTTTTCAGTGCAACAGAAGACGAGCACAATTACAATCTTCATCACCTATTGAAGCCAGCCTGCCAATATGGGTTGATGTTGAACAGTACTCTGAACATCAATTTTTTTGGTATGATCTACAACAAACATGGCATGCATCCGACCCTGACAAGGTTGCAGCCATCATACGGATGAGACCCCCTCAAGACAAGACAGCACTCCA